ACTGACAGCAATAAAAATGACAGATGAAGTAAAACGTTTTTCCCAGCTGAGGGTATAGACCTGCTTCAGATTTGCGTAATGCTGTATTAGTCCTGCAAAACAAACATTTCATCTAAATCATGTAGTCTTCTATTTACTTACTATGAACACGCACGTCCATTAGGTAAACAGCAGGATATTTCAGTCTTGGGGTTGACCAAGGATAGTTAAAAGCTGTCTCCTGCCTTTGCACGATTGCAGCGTGACACATCTGATAATTCGTAGAAATGCTCAAAATCTAAACAACGCCTGCGGTTTTGACCGAATGCCGTCTTCTGCTAACACAGCTTTTTTACAATATTATCGTGGGGATCCGAACAATTTTATAGCTGGATGTTTGTGTGTTCCACGTGTTCCGTCCATAACACAAAGAAGTTTGGTTCTTTAGGCATAATTTTCAGCTTGATATTTGCGTGTTCCACGTGTTCCGTGCATGATAAAAACAAGCTTAGTAGTTTCTGCATCCCCCAATATGTGGTGTACGTTGAACGAATTTTTTGGGATTCTGGCAGCCACCTGCGGAGAAGTCTTCATGTCTACTCCGTGATATCGAATTCTTACAAAAAGCAATTGCTAAGTTTTTTTAATGGGTGTATGTCCTTTAACCTAAGTTATACTTTTCACTGCTAAAGCCACAAGCAAACAAGACAGAACAAATTATGCTGGCGTAGTAAACAGACCATATCGCTGTATAACCTCTCGAACAGGTTAATCGCATACTAATGCAGAACAGGGTCCTGTTGCATTGTTCCTTGTTTTCTGGCATTGCTTACGAATAACTCAGTTCCCGTTTGGAAGCAGCGATCATCTGACCTCTACGTTCTTATCCTTGTTTCCATGATTCAACTACCACCCGATTTTTCCAGTAGCACATTACATCCGTGGGAACATCTACGCTTTACTGCAGGCAATATCAATCCTATAGGGGTCTCCATGGACGTCACCACCTGCCATATGTAGGTGGCCATATGTATATGTACTTGCTCTGTATTATCTATTCTGCCTGATGAGCCTTTCTTGTTCCATATGCTGCCCTTCCCTAATTCGTTGACGTTCCTGACTAGACGCACGGTGTGCATACCAAGCCCTTCAGTTTCTACATTCCTGTGTACAATGGGTTTCAGGCTTGCCTTACCCCAAACTGCATGCTGCTCAGGGCTGTTTCCTTCAGGGACCCTAGCAGCCGGCCGAAACGCTATAGCCCAATCACTATAACTTAAACCGTAATCAGCACTAAACCCCAAACCTAATCACTAAACCGTAAACCCTAATCACTAAAGCCTACACCATGAACCCTAATCTCAAAACCCTAAACTCTAGATGGAGTGTTCGTGTGTGCATGAATAAATGGATATGCAAGACTAGTAGCTGCACCAAACTTTAAAAAGGACGGCTTTACCACACAGCAGCAGGAGCAGCAGCAGGAGTGCTGCAATGCCTTGTTCAGCATTTCAAGACAAATGAAGTCTTTGCTAACAGCAGCAAGCTTTAATAGGGACAAGACAGCAAGTAGCTGCAGCAGCAGCAGCCTCTTGTTGCTCTTACAAACGTTGCAACAGGAACACCAGCAACACCAGGACCAGGCTCTGTGTGCACTCCTGTGGTACTGGAAAGCTGTCAGGTGTTCAGCACCGGTTTTCACTGCCTGCAGGTGGGATAGGCCTTGTCCGCTGCTGGGCCTGCTGCAGCTGCTGCTGTCACACTTTCTACACAGCACACAGGACTCGCTCCTCAGATCGTTGCTACACAACATCGTTACGCCCTCTTTTACATTGTACTACGAATCCTTGACCGGCATGTAATACCTCCGCAGACTCCTTCGTACCTGTTCCACGTACTACAGGTTCCTGGACCACTGATATGGGTTTAGGGTTAGGGTTAGGGTTAGGCAACGCACTTCGAGCGTTTCTGGGCTACAGCCTCTAGCTTTGTTGATGTTTCCCCAGGTTATGCTAACTTTGTTCCCAGTTTTGCGTAGGCCTGTGCGACCATGTGGTTGTCAGCTGAGCCTGTCGGGGTTTTCTATTCGCGAGTGCTGATATGCCTTGATTGCCGGTGCTGTTACATTCTCCATGGTTGATTGCCGGTGCTGTTACATTCTCCATGGTTCTACCCGAACGTTTGCCCTCTTGCTAGTGGCCAACAGCTGCGTGCATACGCTGCCTCGCGGTTTGGTTACCTGGGCTGTAACATTCAGTGTCCTCCATCTGCTTCTATGGGCTGACAGTGCTTACTTCTGCTCAGGTAAATAGTTATGAGGGTTGGCACACCAAAATGCACTGAAATTATCCGCTTGCATCTCCGCCCAAGCATTGCTCTCTGTTTGGTACCCGTGTGGCAACACGGCTCTGTCGGTGGCGTCAACAGAAGCAGTAAAAAGCGCAAGAAATGATGGCTCTAAACCCTTTCTTGGATTTAGGGTTTGTGAATGACGGATCTGCACGGACGGGGATGTCTGATGCGCCTTTCACTCTGCAGGAAAACAGTGTCTGCTATGTGTTGTTGTCGAGTGCTAAAGTGGGCAGCAGCACTAACGCGGAATTGCCTGATATATAAGCCATTGCAGGCAATAGCACTTATACGAACCGCAGCATCCGACGCTAAAAACATATTTGTAAAAGGAAGAGGCTCTACTGCCCTACTCTTTGGGCTTGGGCGAACGACGGCACGTGAAGCCAAATGGCAATGGCACAGCGGATTCGAGTGCAGATTGCTTTGTGAGGGTTGTAGATGACAGGATTATGATAGAATATAATAACGAAATGCCCTAGGATTGACAAATACTTCTCCATCAGAAAGTAGCTTAGTATTACCGGGGGCGATTATAGGCTTCCGCGAGGGAGGTGGTGTATGCGTCGTGAATTCATTGCCAATTAATTGATACGACGGAACTCCAGTTGCAGAATCCTTCAGAACCATCTAACGTCGACCCCTCTAAGTGAGGCGTTGATAATGCATTTGTATTGCTACAATGTCACCTTCCAACCACGAGAGCGTCCGGCACCGTTTAATATCCCTCCATGCTCACTACATTCTCCGGTGCCTGTGCCCAACCAAATTTGGTGCAGGAAGCCAAGATTTTTGGGCAATGGGCTTCCGGCCTGTAGCCGTTAGCCGTCCGCGTCGATGTCGATAGTGACACATTTATGTCTTGCCCCATATAGAGTTTAGAGAGTAACAATGTCTTGAACCTTATCAGGCAATAAAGTCTAGACGGTAACATAAAACTAAATGATGGTTTGTTATTTCAGGGCAAGACCCATTATAACCGAAATGGTCTGTGTGTAGCAGAAGCGAGCTAACCGGTGTCACCTGACGCTATTGCGCCCTCCCCGTGTGGGAACTGATACATATTCGCGGCCAGGTGCATTTGGAGTAAAGAAACGAACAGAGAACAGTTTTTCTTTACTCTATTATTCTGCTCTTCTTGATAGAGTATGGTGTACCTCGCGCGCACCACCAGCACAGTTGTCCAAGATAATCTTTGCAGTAAATACATCTGAACGCAGCTTACTCCGCGTCAATATCAGGATTATGATGGGTGTGAGTTACCCCATAATATACCTTGCACAAGACCTGCAAAAATTGCCTAGGGATCGAGCGCCTTACGGATCGGCTCGAGGAAGCTTATGCGTGTACCATGAATTAGCATTGATCCCCATATTCCTGCCCAAACCCGTCAAGCTCACGGTAAACTCCAACCTGGTTTCGAAGGGTGGAAATGGAAACGGTTGAGAGCACCTCATCCCCTGCATCGGCGTAGATCTAGACAGAACCCTTGGGTGAGCGAGCGTTTAACGCCCATGGTTGAAAGGGGATACTTACGGGTAGTCGATTTTCGGCATGTTCGATGTTGTATTCCTCACTTTAGTCAGCCTAAGCTTTGGTAGCCAGCGATATTAATGCCCAAGTTGTTAAACAGCAGGAGATGTGTATCCTGCACATATCGCTGTATGGTTACGGTGTTATTCCTCATCAGGAGCTTCATCATGAAATGTGAAAGGTGGGTTTTATCAAATGGTTGTTCCCCCTTCCTCTATAGAATAGACAGGAATAATCAGCAGTGCTAGTTGGTATCGGTACAACAGGGTGCCGCAAAGTGTTCTTAATAGTCCTGCCAGTTTCACGCGGTTGATGCACCCTCCTCATCCTAATCGGCTTCCGAGTCCCTCCGGCGAAGGAAGGTGTTCGCCTTCGCCATTAGCAAAGGCGGTTTGTCCGAGGGGAGTGGTTCAGCATCAATCTCCAGGTTTGCGCACAGCCCGAATTACTTATGGTGTCGCCGGGTTCGTACAGTTCTTTGCATCGCTTTTAAGGTTGGGAAATTCCGTCACATCACGCCGCTACAAGGGAAGCCTGCAGAACTTGAAACCAGCAGCGTTACTCCCCTGGCAAAAGTTGGATGCGGTGCGCACTTTTGTGATATCCAGGCATGATTATCATCTCAGGCACTGTTACCCCTACCAGCAGCACCTGGACCTATTTGATCGTCATATACGCTCCGCCCTGAAGGCAACGGTCAAGCTTTCAAAGAGCACGAGGGCAGAGATATTTCACCAGCCCACCTTTAATGGAGGACTGGGGTGCACCTCACTGAGGACGATCGCAACAGCAAAGCAGATAGGGCATGCTATCCAGATGCTCAACAGCAAGGACAGCATGATTCGGGCAGTTGCAGAAGGCCAAGTGCTAGAAGTCATCAAAAAGGCGTTCGTTTACACACCTGACAGCGAAGATAGCACTCAGCCGCAATACTTGCTTACCTCAACGGCAAGGATATTGGTTGCCTGAAGAGGAGAAACAAGAAGGTGGATATTAGAAGCCTCTGGTCTGAGCTCCCAGGAAGTCTATCGGCTAGCAAAACGCGAATCGAGACTGGGAGTGACAGCAGCTATCTGATAAAGACAGGAGATGGTTGTGGTCTAGACCAGCAGCACCTCATTAAAAGTATCAAGTAACACATGGCAGGGCGGCAGCGCGATGTGTGGAAGGATAAAGTAGACCAAGGAAAATCTGTGGCCTACCAAACAGCAGCCAGCAATGCTTTCTTGTGGGGACCAACCCGACTGAAGCCGGAGGAGGTCGTTATCCCTTTAAGAGCAGGATCTGCACAACCTCCCACAAGAGCCTATCTGAAGAAGATTAAAGTTTCCAAGGTATCTAGATGTCGTCACTGCACAGCAGACCCTGCAACACCTGCGCATGTGCTTAATCACTGTTCACACACCCTTGACAGCAAAATCAAAGAACGACATAACAAGGCCTTAGCATGGATTACAACAGGAATCAAACGGACTGCGGTGAATCGGGACAAGACTCTACAAATAGATAGCAGTCCAGCGGATATGGAAATCCTACTGAGGCCGGATATTCCAGGGACGACAAGCACAAGCGAGTTGCGATAACCGATGTGGCTATTGTGTTTGAAGACTACCAGAAAAATTCGTTTGGCTCTGCTCGTCTCCAAAAAGAAGAAAAGTATCAAAGCCTCAAGACGTAATATGAAAACGTGGGTATAGCCTGTCAGTGCAAGCAATAATATATGGGTCCCTTGGGTGCATAGCAAAGGAAAACAAAAGAGTGCTTACACACGAGTTGGGGCTCAATGAACGCACAGCGTGGTTTGTACAACGTGGAATTAGCACTGACAGTATCCGTCTAAGCCATCGTATTTAGGGTTTTCACATGGCAGATAATGGCACGAGGCGAGTAAGAGGAGGAGGTCGTTCTCGTACTAACAGATCTTAAGTTGCTTGACACAATAATGAGCCAATAGAATACCAAGCCTAACACACTCGGTTGCAACACCGAGGGATTATTCAAACGCGTGAAGACGGTTGGCTCGACATCCGGGCGTGCCGTAGGAGTTGGAGCTCCCTCGCTTCCCCCTTTTCAACGCTTTTTGCTCGAGGCGGCAACGCCCAACTCCAAAACCTCGCTACCAAATTTTCGACGTCATACACGAGAGGTCTGAAACGTGTGCTGCATTTGGAGTTGATGATGCCCGTTGGCTGTCTTTTTTCTCCAGCACTACACAGCCCTGAATACGCATTTGTACACATGCTTCACGATATGTAGTTGGAGAACTGCTGAAGTGTGACGGTCCCTCGTTGATGTTCAGATGCATGCATGCGTCACAACCAAAAGAGCAAGACGCATTACATGACGAAGGGTTTCTTGCTTTAACAAGGGGCCTGATGAACTGATGAGGGCAACTACTGATAGCATCTGCGAGCAATGAATACGACAGATTCAGTTCCCCCTAGGAATTCCCCAATTGTCACTTTTTATGGGTGCCCTGCACCTGAATTATTGGTGACGAGCGGTTCCTGAGTGTCTCTCACGTTGCCGCAGATGGCAGTGCGAGCAGGATCGCAGGAAGGATAGGTAAACCATTTGCGTGGCGCAGTGGTGCTGGCGCGCCCCTGTGGAAGGGTGGAACTGAAGCCCTCCGTTGTTTTACCGTGTCCTTTACCAGCCTGACATCTCTCGGGGCCTTCGCCGCCATATTCTGTCGTCTTCTCATTCTCAGCAGCATTGCACATACATTTAGCACATAGCCAACGGCCCACTAATCGCCAGAATACTACCTCCTAATGTATTGTGCAGCTGACAGCATAGTGACGCACCGTACGAAAGGGGGCCGAAATGCGTAAGATGTTAGCATCTCTTAATTACTATGGTTATTTGTGGCACTTACATGGGGTAGGTTGACTAGCTGCTACCTCTGTGTACCGCTGCTGGAGAGGGTCAGCCGTAATCTTTTAGTTCACGGGACACCAGGGGTGTCACATTGTAAGAGCTTCCCTGCCCACGTGCGCTCATTGGTTACTGTGCGCCCTTCAATTTACGCATAAGGTTATGCGTAAATTGCTTTGCTTTGACCAGTTTCCCCCGTTTTTCGGTAGAGAAGGAGTCAATATCTATTTACCAATCGACATTTGTAGCGTTTCCTCCGACAGACGGGTGCGTTATTCCACTCTCCAGCGGTGCCTTTGTTGATCATTTTAACCACCTCGGCTGGTTCCCCATGGTCCTCGGATACAACCGAGGTTGGGAAGTCTAGGGAGAGCAGCGCTGCATTGGCCCCGCACACGCCTCAACAAGGTTCTCTGAGTGCCCCTGAACACTTTCGGTGAACTCCTATTGTACGCGCAAATTATGTAGCCCCATCTAGAGTAGAGTGTCGCTACCCCGCTTTGGAGTAAATGCAGTATTTAATTTCCGCATGATCTTCCATGCGGATATGGCGTAAGCTGTGTGCGAGGGTTAGCAGCATTCACTGAAACAGTAAAGATCTCGACTGCCCACGATTAGAAGCCAATTCGGTAAGCACGGGTGGATGCGCCGGCGCAACTGCCAACCCCATTCCGCTCTACCGCGGTGAGATTGCCTCAACGCTTGCTGAATATGAGGGTTTGAAGGGCAAGCGCTTGAAAGGCAAATATCCCCCATGGATAACTCATGTAGTCCAATGTTGTATCTACTAGGTATGTTCTGGAGTTTATCACCCCTACACAACTCCTCCAGTCCGATTGCACCCAAAAGCAGTCATCGAGCTTGAAGTTGTGGCCTGCAAAAGGCGGTAACCTTTTAAGTGGTAATCGTTCCTTTGTTGATCAAGCTGCCCATAGCACAGCGGAATTTGGGTCCTGGGTTTACTACTGGAAGTACCTTGAGCAGGAACACAGCTTGGTGCAAATGCTGCTGCACTGCGCAGGTGGCACCGTTGCTGTGAGAAGGCAACCTAGGATGTTTGTCTCCAACAGCGCTTAGTCTCTCCCGTATAAACCTTTGGTCTTCCTACTATTGGGACGTATGCGCTTTTTTCCCTAGTTATCAACGCGGTTTCGGTGCATGACCCACCAGCTGTTGGGCAGCTACTAGCGTAGTGGCTTAGCCTTCCGCACCTCTTGGACGCTTCTCGTTGTCGCCTAGTGTGTTCGTACTAGAGCATACCCGTGGGTGACGACAACCACCTTTACACTCGTAAGAGGTTTTATGGGGATTTCCCCAGAGCCAACCTCATTTACCGTACCCCACTAGGGGTAACCCCCCACCTGCCAGGGGGCTACTGCACACCTGTCCGCCTCTAGAGCCTGTAATACGGCAATTGTGGATTCCCAGTAGCGCTCTCCAGTGGCTGCTATTGGTTTCCAGGTACACTACCGCGTTTCCTCATTTGTTATCGAGAGATGGATATCGGTTGGTACACCGGCTCAATAAAGTGCAGCAATTTTCTCAACAGCTAACCGCTAAGCATCGCTCTACCACAGCGTGATTCCCGAACATCGCACACTAGCCAACTCTGCAAGGAAATCTTGGAGCTCAAACTATTACCAAGAGTGTTGTGTTCATCATTTCCCTGCAGAAATTCCCCTAGCAACCCATTGATTTTCCGTTTGCGAATCCCAGACGTCTATTTGTTCTGGGCCGGTAACAATTATATTGTAATAATATATATATATACACTGGACCGATAATGGCTGATAACCTAGCTACCCCGTTGCCCCAGCTAATCCTATTATTTTGAAGCCCTGTCCTATTCGTACCAGGAAAGCTTGCATTATGCTTCCAGATTGGTGCCGCACGGAACCCACTGGGGTCCCTGGGGCTCTCTCGGGCTGCAACGCCTCTTAAGAGCCGCTGGGCTAAGGGTTTTTCGCATGGGATTGTTCACTGCCTGCGTTAGAGCCGCCAAATGCTCCGAGGTACCAGCTATTTACTTGTTAGCTTCAGTTGGGGAAGGCCTGAGAATTGGGGGTGGCTCTCGCCGCCCATCTGCTGACGCCGATGGTGATGCAAAGGTTGCCCGCTTGTCAGCTCATGTGTTGATATTGCCAATGTGGTGGGCTCGGCCGAACCTAAAACCTGTCCGTTGCTTTAATGCATTCCCTCCACACCTGCATGCACCTGGGTTGGAAAAAGAGGCACAAGCCTTTTTGCGTGTATATGGATCTTCGCCGTATGTTTAAAGAAAGCTTTGCGGAGCAGTCTCCAAATGCAGTGCTCTAGTGACTCTCAGCTGCCACCAGGTAAGAAGTGGTATGCCTCTCTACCAGGGGATGGCCAACAAATCGTTCTGTTTTAGCATAAAGAGGCCGTAAATCATATTTTAACCTACATTGTAGGCAAAACAGAGAATCGAAAATCTCTCTCCCCTTGAACCAAGCTCAGACCCTCGACTACACAGTCTGCCCGAAAAACCTGGTAGACTGCTGAGCACGCAAATCCGGTTGGCTTTATTTCCTGCCCAGGTGATCTGACTTAGAGCTAATATTAGGCCAACTCAGTATACGCTATGTTGAGTGATTCTCACGGGATAGGCGGCTAAACTTAGTGGGGCATCCATTGTAGTGGTGGTGCGCTACAGCGCGTCCGCTCTGCGTTAGAACTCATCCGCTGCGTCCTCTACCTGACAGTGTTGCCAGACCATTAAACAATGGGGGGATGTAGATGCCTCTGGAAGCGCTGGGAAGCGCACTCTATCTTTGGCCTTCCACGAGCATCTCAATGATGTCACCAAGTGCTCGCAGTTGTGCACTTCATCGCATGCCTTCGATTACCTCCTGGCGGAATAACACAAAGTACAAGCCGTGTATCTGTGGTGGTGGACTGCTCCCTGGCAATATGACCCACTCCTAAATTAACCTCCGATGCTAGGCCGAAAGCCCTTTCAATTCGCTTGCCCTGTAGCGACCCTTGAAACACAGGCGCATAATGGACTGGAATATTGCATCTTTTTGGCGTAGCTTCAGATAAAGGCAGCGTGCTTCAGATAGCGCCAGCAATTCGCCTATTAATACAAACTTTGATGTGCACATAGGTAACTCAAAGGTGATGTGCAGCTGCGGGAGTAGCCTCTTTTGGTCCCATAACTCCTCTACACGTGGCGTCGCTGCCCCGACGTTTCCCTGATTTGTTTGTTTATACGCATAGCGGCCGTTCGCCAAGCCGCGCTACTCCACAGTGCTTTGCTTCGCCCTCACATGGTCACTCACAAATTAATGAAGCTTTGTTGTAGAAGAAGCAGATGAGCCTTTCAATGTGCCCTCGTAGACCCGTGAGTTCGCGTTCCTCTGCTATTAAGCGTCTTCGACTTTCGTATCTCGTTGGGTGGGGGTAAACCTTTCTTGCCCCAACAGCTCAGTGCCGAATATCTGCCCCACAACCGTCCTGTACCTTTCTGCCCTAGGAAACAAGGTACCGAATGTATGGTTCTTCGTCTCCTTGATGTCTGACTATTTTCGCATCTGTGCGAGGTTGACCCTTCGACGTCGGAGTGCGATATCCGCTGACTAGGCGGTCGCCGGTTGGCTCCCCCCGGGGACATCCCTATTTACAACAATTGGTACAGAAGCTCAGAGTTTAACCTTGGACGACTGTTCACCATTTAGTTCTCTATCGATAACATGCTGGTTTAGGCTAGTCAAGTTTGCCATAAGCTTTTAGTGTTCGACCTAGAAATTACCCTCCGATGTAGGTAGGTTCAAAAATATTTTGTAGCTCGTATGTGCTCCGGTGCAGCAGTCCCGTGGTTTCGGTAGAGGAAGCACTGTCGGGCCTGCCATTCTAATAACGAATATCCGAATAGGAATTGTAGTCGTTGTGGTGTTTGTTGGAGACGAAGGTAAATGTATAAGGATACAACAACTCACGCCAACCGGCATATCTGGGTGGGCCGCAAGGGCGGAAGCATTATTCACGAACTTCTGTAAGAACATTTTCCATTAAAATTGATGCAACTCGACGACACCTCCAACGCTTGATGACGCCTCCACCTGAGACCACTCGACCGCGTAGGAGGACGCTGCTTGCGATAAGCTACAACGCGCATTCCTGCACCTCAAGATAGATGACAGTCCCGCAAATAACCACAAAGAATGCTCATAGATGGCATGCACAAACACTAGAGATAGTTTTCGAGAACTCCTGCTCGCGTACTGTTATTACTAACACTACTAATATTGGTCGGTAAAGGATCGTGTGCAGATTGACGGAGCAGTGAAGGCCTCAATGGGCAAGATATACAAACTCGACGCTAGCAGATATTCTCAACAATTGTCAAAAGCGTTCATGTATACAGCCAAGATCGCCTATTTGTCCTTGAACGTGGGGTTGCCTTGCAGCTTGGGACAGAAGAACGTTGCCACGCCTGGCGTGCGCCTGCCGCTATTCGGCGGGAGAGTCGCTCAGGTGAGGACGAATGGAGAGTGAAAAATGGTACAACTTGACCTGGGGAACTTTCATCTTGAGTATTATGGATATATCGTGGCTCATCATAGTCATCAGATAAGATGCATGAGACCCGTTACATCATTTACCAACTTCGGGCGGACTATGCTGCATCTGGGGCACTGCAGCGTAGGGAATCCATTGAATTCGAAGATGCGTGAACGGAGGCACGCACCAATCATTCGAAATACGGGAATACTGTGTATCTTCTAGATGTAATTTTTGAAGCACGGGAACTATTGGGTTGCTTCAGCCACTGCTCAGGCTTGCTTCAGCCCCAGAGCAAACCTGTATGCTAGGCCCGCCGAGCGTGCTCGCTCTGTGTCTCGAGGGCATGCAAAAACTATAGCAGACTGGTCAGCAACAACTCTCCTGCTGCTTTTTGATCGGCATGAAATTTTCAAGGCCTTGAGCTACTGCGACCTGAGTGCCCTTGTGCTCTCCAGCTCCCCTCTGGAGGAGGCGCTCCTTCCATTTTTGCTCCACAAAGCATGTATGGGCGCCACATTACTCTTTCCTCCCTTTCATGCCTCTTATCCTTTGCAGATTTTATCGAAAAGGCAGAACTGGCTCATGGTCGAAGATGGTGTTACGGCACCTTTCCATTGCAGCTTTTTGTACCTTTCTTTGCCTCCTGTTTGTTGAGGCGGCCAGAGGAGAAGTAGGGGTTGCCTCCTCTGAAGGGTATGCGGTGAACACCCACAGTATTTTGCATCGGCAATCATGGATCCTAACCCGAGAGGGATGCCGAATTGGCAAGGCTGGGAACTTGGTTGTGACACCCCTCGGTGGGTCCACTGTGGATGGGGGAGAAGTGCTGGATACTCAAACGACAGGGCCATTGCTGTGCTCATGGCTCGCAATGATGGAAAGGGCTCACTACGAAGTTGCAGCCGCGTGGCAGGAAGAGCATTTGCGCAGGAAGGCAGCGGTACCAGCTTGGAATATATTTAGGAGGCTTGCACTGTGGAGTAGAAGCTTCCCCGAGCTGCAAATTGAAGCTCATATTCGTTACATTGACTTGTGGAATAAGGATAGGTTTGGCCACCCTCTTCCATGGGCTACGGCAGTATTTAGGTACAAATGCCCAGAAGGGGACGCTAGCTACGGGCTGTTGGATCATCTGTGTGGCTCAGTATTCTCTGAGGAGAAAGACCCACGCGTGGGGTCGGATGTTCATCTTCTTTTGCAGCCGCGTCCTGGGTACAATCAACCTCTAGAGGTTCGTGCAAGCAACTGGCAATACATAACGGGTGCTCTCGCAAGCCTACGTGGAGGAAGAACGAAAGACCAACAGGACCGCGATGAAAGATGGATTTGGCCCATCTCTCTTTACAGCAGAGTGGAGTCAGTCATGCAGATTTCCGGGAAGATTGACGATTGTTGGATGAATGATGGCGACTGCTACTTCAGGTGGTAAGTATATAGTTGCTGCAGCCATTACTAGCCCCAACGGTCATTGTCGCGTTGGGTGTTAGCTGAGCGAATGGTATTTTGTGTGAACATGCGTATTATTCTCACTCCAGGTTGCTTCGTGTGGAATGGAGACTTTTCCGCGAAACGGTATGTGAGCGACTCCAGCGGGATGCCAACGCAGGCTTAGCTGAAGCATTTAAAGCGGCAGCCTTGAAAACTGTACAAATAAACATAACAGGAGTGGACTTCTTCAACCATCCACGCCCAGTTCTTTTTGGAGTTCTAGAGGAGGGAGTACTGTTGGCTAATGCGGGGAGCGGCTTCGTAGCATTGGAAGTTGACACTGATCCGCGCAATATCGCAAACTTCGAACGAGCAAAGTCGACGTCTCAGAACATACGAGCGGCAGGGCTTATGCTCAAAGGCGTAAACGAACTTTTCAGCAGGGCAAAGGGAGATTCCTAACTGTTTTGGTGGTGCCCCAGTTTTGAAGCCACGGCATATAATCTTCTATCCCGGTATTTGCTGTATCTGGTCCATTGGCAATGATTGATGCATCCTGTTTTTTTTTGTTTTTCGCGTTTGCCGGGGATTTCCAAAAAAAAAATCCAAACGTTTGGCAGGGGGTTCCGCCAGATGAGGGGGTGTCGGGGATAGGTTTCAGCACGCACCTTTGCCAGCGGTCCAGTCGTTGGAAGGTGAGTTGTTGCTGGTTTCAGTACATCCGCTTATTCTGGCTGGTGAGTAACGAGGTAAGGCCTCACCTGCTTTCGGCTGCGTAGGGGAGGAGAATAAGCTGTTGATGACGAGAGTTGCTCGTCGCACTTGTCGCGCAGGCTGGTGCACATCCGCAGCAAGATGCTGATTGCTGAGCGCGAAAGTTTTGAAAGAACAAAAACCTGTGCTTGTCGGAGCTTTAAACTAGCCAAACTTGTGTTTTTTAGTACTTCGGCAGGTAATACAGGCGGAAGATCAGCGCTAGCGAGCTGACGTGTTGCATATATGGAGATCTCAACTGTTCAGAGAGGTCTTCACAAACTAGGTAACGCTTGTCCTAGGTGAATGCGACCTTAGCAGGACAGCAAATCCCCAGACTAACATTAATATGTAGGCTTTTCAATAAGAAGCGCCAACCCCAACGTCCATCATAGCAGAAGAGGTGCACCACAGCAACCTTACAACTTCCACTTGTGGTTATATCATGTTGGCACTAGGTGAAGCGAAGAGGTATTGCGGGATACAGCGTGTCCAAACTGGAAGAAAGCGACTTAGTTACTTAGTGTGTGTATGACTGTTTGGGGGAAAGACATTATGCAGGGCCGCTCTACTGCAATCATATTAGGACTATTAGCTGTTCGCAAGCGGAGTTCACAGTGCAACGAACTACAAGAAGGGCTGCAAATCATAATGGAGCCGTTTATTGATAGCCATTGGCGGCTTCTTGTAAGATGTGTAAACTCGCCTAGACACTGGGAACGAACATCTGAAAGTAACTTCATTTCGTATAAAAAATAGCATCAGTGATCCCACATTTGGGACATGTTACAGCCGTGGAATTTCCTGCTCACAGACCATCAATGAGCACCTCTGCCAGCAACGTATCCTCTGCATTATGCATTGACTAACGGCTCGCAAACGAGCACATGGAGGAATTGTCCGTGCTGAATTTTTGTGTTTCTCTCGGTGACCTACTGAGGTACTGTCAGGGTTTGGCATCAACAGCAAGCAGGTTTTGGCATAGAGTAGCAGCAGGTACCTTCTGGCGTTGTGCAGACATCATGTAGGGCCGCTATAGTGCAGTGGTATTTGGGCCATTATCTGTCTATCATGCTTTACCAAAGAGGAGTTTCACAGTGCAACGAAGTACAGGAAGCGGTGCAAGCTATATCGGAGCCGTCTACTGATAACCATTGGCAGTTCACCGCCTTCTGCCTCCGCAAACTTGCATGTACTCCACAGTCCTTGTAATACAACTGAGCGAAACAGAAGACTGCCACTTTGGTTAAGCGTCCATTGTTGTATATGGGAGCAAATGAAGGAAGGAGCGCACTCGCAATGCTTATCTTGTATAAAATATATCCACTCACCACTGGTGATCGAGCAAGTGGGAGTCTTTCTAGTAACAATGCAGTGGGCAGGCCAGAGGAAATGATCAGAGTGGAGGGCGCTTTATGATTGCAGCACGTGCACACACATGCCTACTAGTCCCCAGTACAACTGTACAGGCGCAAACTACACACGTGTTCGGAGCCTGCTGTACATTCTGCACTTGCTACATTCTACATTCCTGCTCGATGTGTTTTTTCGCACCTAAACAGTGGTTTGTCGAATCAGGAGGCCGTGAGGGCAAGCAGTAGATGACAAACAACTCCGTGCACCATTAGGCACTATGTTCCTTTTTCCAATAATATCGGCCCTCAAACTGCTGACACTGAAAGTGTTCCCTATAATGGGACTGCGTCTTCGCCACAGTCAATAATAACTGCGTAAAACGCATACTGTGGAAGTGTTGACTCTCGATTTGTTCACACTTCCAGAGTGTTTAAGGGATGGTGGGACACCTAGTGCTTCGTGCAGTTGCATGCCGTAGCCAAACCCAGAGTTTTCATTTCCACTTGGCTACTCGGCTTCCAGTCGTGCCGTGCTTATGACCAGCAGCCTCAGCTTAACGGCTTTCAACCATTCCTGCAGTCTAAATAATTTAAAAATAGGTTCTAGAAAGTTCGCATACATGCATAAATGCATGCGGCACAAATTGGGTGCCGATGTATCCACGAAAACTTGAATGTTGCCGGGCATAACAGCTTGCCTTCACCTACACATGTCTTTTTGAATCGTTTCGAAGATTTCAACAAGACGCTTCCTATAAGTGCTCTGCAGCCGACCGCTTCCCGATGGCTAGCATTTAAGCTCCCGACAGAACAGGAAGTCTTCAAAAGATATTTAGCTTCAGCGAGGTCATGGGTTCCGCTGCTTCGACACTTTCTTCGTCTCGCCTCAGACAACAGTGGCATTCAAGACACTGCCTACTCCCCTTCAGGGTCAGAGTTGATGGTGGTCATTTCCAACAGGGCAAGACTTTGGTTAGTCATATTCTCATAAGAAGCTGGTTGTTGATCCTGGTAGATATCTGGAAAAATGTGTGATAAGTCGTAAGGATTCATTACTCTTCTCTCCCCTAATCTGCCTGAGGTTTCCGCCTCAGCAGATTCGTCTTCAGTTTCAGCTGGTTGCGGCTCCTCCTCACTGGTACTGCTAGTGGAGCTACTTTCCGGAACATCGCCAGCAGGCTGATTTGCCATTTGGCTACCTTGCCCATATCGAGAATACGAACTGTAGGGGTCGCCCGATGCGATTCCCATAAAGCTACTTGTGGTCCGTCCCGACTGAGTATATCTGCTACCAGGGTATCTGATGTTCAATTCGGATGGGCGGTTTGCCATAGGGCGCAAGCCACTGAAACCGTTTGTAGGAACGCCACCGTTGGACTGGGAGTTAGGCACACTGCTGTTCGCGCCGCCGGGTGAAGTCGAATGTCTCGAGAAGGACTGTCTTCCCCCCTCAGGAACAACTGGCGAATTAACTGATTCGCTGGATTGTGGTTGCCCTGAGCTGCTGCCTCCGGGATAACTTGGGACAATGTTCCTGGAGTCATACGGGTTGTACGCTTGGTACAGAGACGTTCCGTTTCTTGCCATTCCTTGGGAATTAAACGTTTGCGATGAAACACTGAATGTCGGACTCGTCAACGTTTGCGAACTGTTCATCTGTGGTTGAGTGCCGTTCACCGGCGTTCTGTTCATCTGTGGTTGTGCACCGTGTATTGGAACCCCACTGGATGCGTACCTTTGGCTTTCATGAGGTTTCATTGTATTTGGCAGCTGCTGCACAGAGTTCCATCGTCTACCAGCCCAGGGAGCCTGAGGTGAGGGATATGTTCCTCTGACCGGGAGACCCCCAGCAGTGGTACTGTAAGGATTTACTCTTTGATACATCTGACCAGCAGTAAAACAGGCTGGCAACAGTAACACAAGGCCCAGCAAGTTACTCTTCAACTGAATGGGTCTTCCGTTGACAAGGCGTCTGTACGAACACGCATTCAAAGAACAGCAGGTGGCACTGGTAGTACAAGCATGAGAAACAGCCTATTAAATGTGTTGAACTTGGTCACTGTGTTGGGTACTTTATTTGGCTCCGAGCACTGCCCGTCCCAGCCGGCGAGCCACAGTAAGGAGCCTTAGACTGGTGGCAATTTAAGCCGCTCTGTAATGTTGAAGCCTACACCAACATTACCGAGTGGCTTAAATTACCACCTGTACCGAACTTCAATGTAGCACCTGTACATTTGGAAATCGAGTCGGGCACATTGAAGCTGGTCACCACCGTTGTGTGCGGACTTACTCCATTTTATTTGTTGTAGTCGAATTTGGAAACCAAGGGGCCGAAAAGCAGAAAAATTAATATTAACTGTCAAAATAAAGAATGTGACAAGATGATGGTTGGCGGCCCTGAGGTTCTGTTGGGTTTCTGAAGTGTTCGAGTGGCTACCTCAGGGAACAAGGATCACTAACCGCAGTGACCACCGGCGTGTGCCGGGCTAGCTCCACCTTTCACGAGTGTCTTGGCCCGCTAAACTCCAGAATTCTAATGAAAATAATTTTCTAATGGAAGGCAAATAAGCTTGTAATTTATTGGTTGCCGAAACATCCACTTAGCTCTACCGGTTTGCTGCTCACACACCTGCCCACTCCGTCATCGCATATCTGTGGTGAGTCCTTTGGTTTAGCTTGAAAGCTGAGAATTGCATATTGACAACCCCGCGGGTAGCCACCAAAAGATCAGTTGAGGTTTGTTTCTCCTACACCTTCCAGTTTTCGACCCTGTGCTCCTCGAAAAGGTGACCAACCACGGACTGCCATCGCTCAACACGGTAGCTAGAAGCCAAACACAACATGGAGGGGCGATGAGCCTCTTCACCTAACCAAGCCCATTAAAACTGTTCGAACAAAACTGTGGAGCGTAAAATGGGCGATGCGCGCTTGTCAAGTGGCTACGCTTCAGCCGGTTGCAGCGGCAATTCCTTCGGTAACAAGCCCTCTCCTGCTCTGCGTGCAACACCAGCGAAGTAAACTGCATTGAATTGCTCACTATCTTAACGAATACATATGGTTAGAGTGTAGCAATGGCTCTGCCTGAGTCCGTTGCTGGTCGCTAATGATTCGTTACTGGGCTCCATGATGCCCTCGGTTACGAGTGCTAAAAACTCCATCCTATGCAAACACTTGCTGTACAGCTGCCGAGATAATTTGGAATAAACGACTAGATCACTTTTACAGCTATGTAACGAGAACCAAGAGCAAACAAAACCCCTACCTACATGAATACTCTCATTGCTACCTACATAAATACTCTCATTGCTGCCTACATAAATACTCTCATTGCTACCTACACGAGCACTCTCATCCTTCGCACATGAGAGACAAAAAACAGCTTAGGCAGTTTTTGCTGCAAAACAGGTGTTTCTCTTATTCATCGCCACTTAGTACAGTATATGTAAAATTGCGGATTTTTCTTATAGGATGAGGCCTCAGGTAATCCTCTACTTCACGTGGGTACAAGCGAAAAAAGAGCCGTCGAGGCACCGCAGACCCTTCACGCGGCTAGGTGCCCGTGAATTAAGTCAATTTTGAACGCTTGAGATATTTCCAGTGAGAAAGTCGAAGGTGCTGGAGGAAAAGAATGTGTCTGTTCTCGACACTTCTCCCGTCTGCAGCAGACAATGCGGAAAACTGCTACTATACTGAAGGCATCGCGACATTTGTTTCAGCACGAGAATTCCAGACGAGCAGAAACAAGAATACCATCTTGCACCGCGCCTGTAGCCTTAATACACTTGGTTATGTATCAACGCATGCATAAGTGTATGAGCATGACCTGAGAGGTGCTCATACAGCAGTAATGCACGTTTGGTAACTTGATTGAAGTCTATGCAGGGCACTAACCGTTTCCTGTTGCAATGGCTGCTGCTTCTGCTGTTCCCTAGCTTCGTTCCTCTTTTCTTCAAGGTAGCAACATTTCACTGCCTGCACGCGTAGTACAAGGCAAGGGTTAGCCACACATTTGGGGGAGCAAATCCTCCAAACTATTTGCTATGGTTGCCAACTGATAATCAAGTGCAGATACCTCGAGTTCTTTGTGAAGTCTTTCGATCTCATCCTTCTTCGATGTCACCTACAGAGGTAGAAAGAGCATAGAAGAAGGATGTCGAGTTCTTTTGGAGTTACAGGAATTATTAACTAGATATTGCATTCCGTGCAAGTACATCGACGTTAGCCCTGGCTCCGTGGATCCCGCTGAAAGCACTCATAAAGTGCGCCTGTCCTAAGCACCTGCCAAGGCCTAGCAACTGAGAACTGGCTGATTACCTCCTTGTGAAGCACTTGCAGCTCAGAAATGGCGGCACGGAGTTGTTTTGTTTTTGTGCGCACATCCTGCAGGTAAGTGAAAAATATCGGAATATCCTGGTTCTGGTTTTGGGGGGTGGGGGGTCGGGGGTCCC